ATTTTGACCCGTGTTTTAATACAAATCCTTTTTATATTAGTAATCTAGGATTGTTACTGAATGTTGTTCTGAGGATTGCAATGAAATCAGAGTTATTTTCCTCTTATAACTGGTCAGGTCTTGGGGACATGAATATTGAACAGACTTGAGAATTCATCCAATAATAGATTAACAGTAGTAAATAAATTTATTCCTAAATATATTGCTCCTAAAAAGTCTTTGTGGGTTACAAATAACATTCAACTTATTAATAAAAAACAGCTTACAAGAAATGTGCATCAATACAAACTGATACATAATGAAACAGGAATGTTAAGCCTGAAAAAGCAAGCATTTGAACAGAAAATTGCCAGAGAGACTAAATCAAATCCTAATTCATCAATGTGATTCTAAAATATCGACATGTGCTCTTTTTGTACATTTTTCTATATTTGAAATGAGCAAAGTGATCTCTATAAAAATAACAGACAATATTCTAATACAGACTTTTTGTAAAGTTACACCTCAATTTTTAAAAACATTATGCAAAAGAAAAAAATGGGAGCATATGGTGAGTTAGGTTCTTATATTTTGTCGAGACTATCACTGGCCATTCCTTAAAAACTAACAAACAAGATGACCTTGACCATCACAACCTTTCAACTCACAGAATTGAAATCAGCAGTAAGAAAGTAACTAAACGACTAATCCAATATGTTTGAAGCCTAAACAATACCTTAAGAATATCAGATAAGGAAGTGTTGACCAAACATTGGAACAGCATTATGAGTAATTTTATATTTACTGTTTTCTACTCCCATTAGCCAGGGAGTACTTGAACAGACGAATTGACATAATGTTAGCCCCTTTTTCTGATGAAAACTGAAGCTGTTTGGTTCGAGTCCAGGCTCAAAGAGTCAACAATTATGCTTTCAAGGATCATTTCTTAAGTGGCCAGGATCAAAGTGCAGTATCTGTTCTTGACTCAGCCCCGTTTAGGGAGGAGGTATCCATCTGTGGTTTGGATTATCTCCAACGATTCCCTGAATCATTGAAGTAGACATCCAATAGGCAGTAGGTTTCCAACTTTAGGTTGGAATATCTTTGACAGTTCAACCAAACTGTCAAAGTAGATAGGCAGGAGGTGTCCAACCTTGGGTTGGATTATCTCCAACGGTTCATCCAATTTCATTACCACATTCCCTGGGTCATCATTCCCTTTTTCGAGGGTGGGTGCGATGGCAGAGTTCTGCCCAAAGTACACTTATAGGGTACAAATCCTATATCATTCAAACAAATAACTGAAAAACACAAAGTAGATTTGCACACCCGCAAAATAGGATCAAAACGACTAAAAACACATTTTGCAATAAGGTGTGAAATTAATTTTCTGACCAATGAAAGGAGGCGATTTGCTAAACTAAAAAAAGATAACGATCCAGTGTGAAAAAAGAAAAATCAGCTATAAATAGAGAGACTCAAGACAATCACAAGTCAGAAGGGCGCAGAGATCATAGAGGACAGAAGACTGACAGTCAGGTCCGTCACTGACTCAACCAGACACTAAGAGCAGAAAGTGGTCAAATCCTCAGCGTCTCCTCTGATGTTATGCTCGGTGAATGGAGCTTTGACATCATGATTTGCAGGCAACATACTCAGCATGTTGGACATTAATGGGAGAATGCTGCCTGTCATTGTGACAGATAGAAGGCCGACATGCTGGAAATGTGGCAAAACCAGCCATATGGCCTGTGTGTGTGCAGAGAAGCCTGCCTCAGACCACCAACTGGCATCAGACAAAAGTGCCCAAGTCCTCCAACATGCCCGCAACCAAGACCCCTGTTCCCGCTGCCCCCTTGCCTACAGTAGGAGAAGGGGATTGGGAGGTTGTTGGCAAGGGAAGGAGGAAAATGCAAGCAGCAGCATGTCCAAGCAATAAGCAGGGTGCCAAAGATCCCATCGCAAACAGTTGTGGGGGTGATGCCTTGGCCTCAGCTCCCTGGACCAAGAACAATCAGTTCTATGAAAAGATCCAGCGGGTCAGGAAACTGAAGGCTGATTTGGAGAAGCAGCTGGTCCAGCTACATCAATACCACCAAAAGCATCACCACAAAAACAGTCAACACCATCGTCACCAAAGACTTTTCGCCCCTCATCCTCTGCTGCACCTTCCCTGACCAAACTGAAAAATTATCATTGCATTTGAGAGCCCGCTCAACCTCTCCTCAAAAGAGGGACACATCCCCGGTGCACAAGAGAGGAAACCCCTGTTAAAAAAGACTGTGCAGCACCGAGGAAGAGACTGAGGAGCCCTTCAGAGGATGTCGGCAGGAAGAGGTAGAAGGTAAAACTCATCTACAACACGGGGAAGAACGTCTGCTTTAGTAACCGTTCTTTTAGTTTCAAACATTTCTTGAAATCTGATTGGTTATTAAATGCACAGTAAGCTTCTAGAAACTTTCATCACAAATCAGCCAATTTTTGTGCAAAAGTAGGCTCAATATACTTGAAAAACTCTTTCTCTAATTTACCCCTAACTTGAATGTCTCATACAATTCTATTGGTTAAAAAAAAAAAAACAAAAAATACAATCTCGCCCACACATTTCTTGGAATTAGTGGCAGCATCTACTGAATTTCTGGTGAGCCAGTTGAATTAGTGAAAAAGTTATAAATACAAACAGCAATCAAGTTTCTATGCACAGAGATATACAGATACCGAGAGAGAACTTAATTTTATGATGATCAGAGACTGCTTTTTTGGAACAAACTTCCTTTCTGAAAGATTTGGAAAAATACTCTACATCACAATTCACCAACGTTTTCAATAACTCATTGTGACAAAACTTTTTCCCCTAGAATATCTTTCTCAGAAAATTTTTGTCTAATTTTTACTAATCTTGACTTTTCTAGTTAAAAGGGAGACAATTTTCACTTCCTCAAAAATTGTAAATTTAAAATTTGCACTGCAACAGTATTTTAAATTTCTAATAACAATTTTGTTCTCAAACTTTTCATACACTGAACTTTTAACCAACAATGTTCAGAACTTTCTGCATTTAACATTCCAAACCAGCAAAGTAGTCACAGTGCATCGGATTGATATTTTCCTAGTGTCACATCACCAGATGGACAACAGGTGACTCCGACTTCAGACCTCGGTCATTCAAAGTTGATAACCAAAGAGCCATTGGAAGATACTTGCCCTCGTGTTGAGCCTCGCCCCAAAAAAGTCTGGGTGAGGATGCCAACGGTTTCTTCCATAGATCCATTGCCAAACTCAGTTTCAATGGTGCCATCTTGGGATATGATGCTGAGATCCCAGGTTAGAAAGGTTAGTTTTAAGGCCCTATAGAGGGATGGGTGAACTAAAAGCGGGACCCTCCTAGCACAAAATTGTTTCAATCTCGTCATTGTCCATGATGACGATTGGTGAGGTCTCTTCAAAAGTCTTTTTTGCCTCCTCGATCATGTCCCCCACACCTGCTGTGATCCCAAGCCTATGTGTATGACATTGAGGAGTATTTTGGCATGAACAAAGTTTGTAGGATCCTTCAGATCTGTGTCGCTGCATTTCCTCATGGCCAGGAAGACTTTCAAGTTGCTAGTCCTCCTGCCAAATGTTTTGACCCTCACCATGTTCTCAGTGGTCACATGCTAGTGTAGTGGATCTGAGAAGGTTGTGTCAATATTTTAGTGTTTTGCTGCAAATGAAACATGTAACATCTACAAACATGTCCTGCCTTGAGCGCCCAGGTTGAAATGTCTCAACAATGATGAGTGATCACTCACCTGGCTGGTGCTGTGAGGAGCTCTCTGGGTCGGCAAGAAGCTTTATGCAGTGGGGCTGGCGGTTACGCCAGAGTGCCTGTGCTGTGGTGAATGGGAGGAGTCCATTGCGCACGTCTTCTTTCACTGTAGTGTCGTACACCCGTTGTATGATACTACAGTGAAAGAAGGCTAATTGAAGGCTACATGGTTCGCATCTTGGGCAGAAAATTAGAGCACCTACGCTGAAGACCAAGTCAAAACTTATATAAGTCTCGGCGTCGTTCTAACTCCACCTCTCATCCAAGAAAAGCTACGATATGCTGGTATCACCACAAATTCAGCAACACAGCAAGAAGACATACAAAACCGTGTACCTTCAAACCATAAACAGATTTTACAACAACCCAGAAGGCGGGAAACACCGACCCCAGCGGCAAGTAAAGGCAGCATCTGCTGTTGGAGGCCAATCATCCAACCGTCTATTTTATATTAAGGACAGAAATTCTAATGAATCATTCCTTGTTGATACTGGCACACAAATCAGCATTGTACCACCCAGATCTAACTTTTCAAAAATTAAACCATCGGTTACTTTACTTGCCGCGAATGGCACACACGGCCTTTCAGTTTTACCTTTGTCAATGATCAATAAACCTGCGTCTAAAATGTACCATGTCTCTTGATTGTCAATGAGAGTTTATGATAACTGTCTAAGGGTTGTGTACATTTCCACGAAATACATGCATCCCGGAAACAGTAAAATAAAAAATAGAGTAACCAGATTTACCCAGGCTTATCAAGTCTCCAATTACCAAAGATGAAGTTCGGCATGCCTTGAAGAAAATGAAGACAGAAAAGTCCACTGGTCTGGACAAGGTAACAACAGTAATGCCTCCCGCTACTCTTGGTCTTCCAGCAGATCATCTGCAGCGGCTGTCGCTGCTATCGCCCAAGCTAGGGCCGAAGCAGCCAAAACACGTTTAGCTTTCATTGACAAGGAGCTAAAAATAAAAATGGAGTTGGAGAAACTACAGGAGGCGGCTGCTGCCGTAGCTGAAGCAGAAGTTCTGAGGGAAGCTGCCGACAAGCTAAAAGAACGGTCCAGCTGCAACCACTCAAAACTCAACTGCACTATCGCTCACCCTAACACACGGGTCAGAGAATACTTAGCCAACCAAGCAAGTCAACCGAAACAAGAGATGTCTGAACCCCAACCACCTCTTAATGAAGAAATCATTCAGGGATACCAGTATGGTCGGTCTGAATGTGGAGACCAACTTCTCCCTCATAGGCCAGGGAGCTCAGACAGACCTACCCAAACAGCCCCCCCCCATTATCAGCTATCACTCCCCTAACTCACGTGTTGAGGACACCGAACCTCCTAATGACCGGTACCCCACCAATACCAGGGATGCCTCCCAGTCCCAATATACCTCGGACCTTGTGAGGTACTTCACCTGGCAGGAACTCATTACCACTGGACTGCCACCTTTTAACGATAGACCTGAGGACTACAGAGTGTGGAAGCGGTCTTTCCAGAATGCCATCAGACACCTCGGCCTTGCATACAGAGAGGAAATGGACCTCCTCGTAAAACGGCTTGGTAAAGAGTCAGGGGAACATGCCAAGAGGCTAAGGTCAGCCCACAGAAAGAGGGATTACGAGAATATGTGTTGGAAATTTATTTCTAACATTTATGTAAATCCCTATTTTGTAAATACTTTATCTTTATTTTACTTTTATGTGTGTTGATTTTCTGTATTTTGTTTCTTTGGTTTCGTATTACTGTTTTTTATATACTAAACGGCATGCGAGGAAAATTACCCGGGAGGCTAGCTCATGGAATCTACGTCATTCTTAGGGCGCCAAATCTTTTTTTTTTTTGGATCGGCGTCAAGAAGACAAGACCTGTTTTTCAAGGCTCCCGAAAGGAAAACAAAGACGCGTGAAGATCTGAGGTACCTAAACGGATTTGGAAGAATACGTTTTGGACCTAAATATCTTCTGGAGAACTAAAGGTTCTCACAAGACTATCTCCATTTACTGGCGAGGCTGTTTGAATTCTGCTGTGGTGTTCCTGTTTTAGACAACATTGAAATGTTGAGTTAGATTCACGGGAAGTCTGTGTATAGATAAAGAACGATTCTTTGTCCATGAAATATCTTGAAAGGTATTTGGTTTTTATCCTGAATCTCTTCCAGAGGAAGGTATCTTAAGCAGGAAGATATCGGCCGACAGAACGGGATTCTCCTGAGGAAAAAGAGATTTTATTCAGCTCGAGCCCGTGTTGCTAAAGAAAAGGAGTGTTGAGCCTTTGATACAGACTTGTTAATTTTTTCTCTGTAAAGGCGATTTCGTCCGTTGAGAATATTGTAATGTAAGTACTTGCCCTGTTTGTATTTTATTGTTTGTGTGTTAAAACATTGTAAGTGCTTAACATTGTATATTTCAAATGTTTGTTTAACCATTTTATAGGAATCTGTATTGTGAGCAGATCCTTGTTACTTGGCGTTTTATTCTATTCATTTTTGTATAAACGTCCCAAGGGAAATATTTGCAACATATTTGTTCTTCCCTCGGGAATTTTGTAAAATAAAGCCTTTTCTTTCTAATTTCAAACAAGACTATTTTTAATTTAATTCTTTTCCTTTTCCCCCTTCTTTTACCTTTTTTTATTTTTTATGGATTGTTTCTACGAGGTCGGCTTTGTCTGAAAATGGATAAAATTCCGACATATGGGCCCAACTCGAGGAGTGTTATGGTGCCCCCGAAATGACAGAGGATGCTCTCTTCAAATGAGTAGATGACTTCCCCAGACTGTCAAACAACGATCTTCCTAGACTTAGGGAACTCAGTGATTTAGCTACAGAACTCTTGTCAGCTAGGGAAGATGGAAACCTTCCTGGCCTTGCCTTCCTGGACACTGCTCGAGGGCTCCACCCCTTTATAACCAAACTACCATCTTCACTTCAGGACAGATGGCTATCTGTTGGTCCCGAATATAAGGAGCGGCACCAAGTTACATTCCCTCCTTTTAAGGTATTTGTGAACTTTATCACACAACAAGCTAGGATCAAAAATGATCCAAGGTTCAAAGTCAATCCACTGGTGGGTAGGTTCCCCTCACAAGAGAGCAAACAAAGGATGGTATTGGTGAATAAGACTGAAGTGTCCCCCAGTCTTCAACACTATGCATCGGCAAAACAAGGATGACAACGACCCCACCCAATATTGCCCATTACACAAAAATTCCACTCACTGTTGAAATGCCGTGCCTTTCGAGGGAAACACTTGAAAGAATGTGAGACCTTTATAAGAAACAACAGCATCTGTTTCAAATGTTGCTCATCCACAGCACACATAGCAAAATTCTGCAGAGCGAACATTACATGCAATGAGTGTAACAGTGAAGAACACAACACTGTTCGCCATCCAGGACCACCACCTTGGACTGTCAGCATAAGATCCACTGCAGAGAATGGCGGGGAGGATAATTCCCCAATAGCTACTGGAGTGGTTTCGCAGGGCACACAAGTTTGGAGGTGGCGACCTCTCGGAAAAGTTGTGCTCCAAGATATGCCTCGTCAATGTTTACCCTGCCGACCAACCAGATAAAACAGTAAGGATGTACGCCATCATCGACGAACAAAGCAACCGGTCTTTGGTACGCTCAGACATTTTTGACACCTTTAAAAATGACGGGCCCAGTTTCCCCTATTCCCTTAAAACCTATGCCGAAGTGATACAAACCATGGGAAGAAGAGCATCAGGCTTCCAGGTGGAATCCTTAGACGGAAAAAACAGCCTTCCACTTCCAAGTCTTGTCGAATGCAACAAAATACCCAACGACAGGTCCGGCATCCCAACTCCTGAGGCAGCCCTCCACCACCCACATCTGAGAAAAATAGCTCACCTCATCCCCACCGTGGAGCCTAAAACTCCTATAATGCTCCTTCTGGGGCGCGACATTCTAAGGGTACACAAAGTACACCAACAAATAAACGGCCCCCCACGATGCCCCATATGCACAGAAACTGGACCTAGGATGGGTCATAGTCGGCACTGTCTGTTTAGGGAAATTTTACCCACCCACCATAATAAACACATTGCATACATATATATCTGACGGGAGACGCCCTACCCTTTTCGAACCGTGCCTGAACAACTTTGAAATTAAAGAGAGCTTCAGCACCACCTATTTCAACGGACCAAGGACGACGAAAGGGTGGCGCCTTCTATTGAAGATATTGCCTTCCTGAACATCATGGAACTGGGAGCCGAAAAAGACAAAAACAACAGTTGGGTCGCTCCAATACCCTTTAGATCTCCTCGACTTCGTCTCCCACAATGGGAAACTGGCAGAGAGACGACTTTCTTCACTGAGACGTAGACTCGATAAGAAACCAGAGATGCAGAGACACTTCCTTTCATTCATGGAAGGACTATTTGAGAATGGTCATGCTGAAGCGGCCCCTCCACTCAGAAAGGAAGAAGAATGCTGGTATTTGCCCATCTTTGGTGTGTACCATCCTAAAAAACCTGGAAAAATTCAAGTTGTCTTTGACTCCAGCGCCAAACACGATGGAGTGTCCTTGAATGATGTGTTGATAAGCGGACCCGACCTTAACAACACTCAGGGTCTTCACCAGTTTTCGTAAAGAAATCGTCGCCATCACTGCAGACATCAAACAGATGTTCCACTGTTTCTCAGTGAAAGAGGAACACAGAAACTTCCTGAGATTCCTCTGGTATCGCGACAATGACCCAACCAAAGGAATTGCTGAATACTCAATGAAAGTTCACGTTTTCGTCAACAGTCCATCTCCAGCCGTGGCTATCTATTGCCTCAGACAAGCAGTCAGAAAGGGCCAGCCTAACTACAATCCGGCAGTCGAGGAGTTAGTCAACCAGAATTTCTACATCGATGATTGTCTGAAATCACTCCCTACCATCGAAGCTACAGTCTCCTTGCTCCAAAGAACACGAGATATCCTTGCCAGATCCAACTTAAGGCTACACAAAATAGCCTCCAACAAAGGAGTTATGACCACAATCCCACCCCAGGACCATGCGAACAACCTTATGAATCTGGATTTGAGCAAGGACGAACTACCAATACAGCGCAGTCTTGGCCTGGAGTGGCACCTTAAGACCAACACCTTTACGTTCAAGGTACCTTGATACAAAGACTCTTTACACGTAGGGGCGTTTTATCGACCTTCAACAGTCTGTATGACCCCTTGGGATTTGCTGCACCCATCACCATTCAAGGAAGATTAATCTTGAGAGAGCTAACCCATGAAAACAGTGAATGAGACTCACCTCTGCCTCAAGAAATGCACAAAACCTGGTCTTTATGGAGAGACTCCTTGGAGGCGCTAAACGAGGTACGAATCTCTAGGGTCTTCACAAACATACCACTCTCAAAAGCAGTACGAACTGGCAACCGAACTGAGCAAACTAATCTCTTCCGAGATAGACCTGCAGCTTCAATCCACTACCTTCTACACGGACAGTAAGATAGTCCTAGACTACATCCACAACGAAACCAGACGTTTCTATGTGTATGTAAGTAATCGCAATACATACACACAGACCAGAACCCTGCCGACTTTGGCACCCGCTCTGTGCCTGCATCTCATCTCCAGAGAACCACTTGGCTCAATGGTCCTGATTTTCCCCTATCGGGATGTGAGAGCCACACTGAGAAAACCAGCTATGACTTAATCAATCCTGGAACAGACATAGAAGTCCATCCACAAGTGTTCACCCTTACCACATATTCAGCGAGCCTGCAGCTTGGATCCCTACATTTTGAGAGATTTTTCACTTGGCTGTCAATAACCAGGGCCCTAGCCAACCTCATACACATTGCTCATACCTTTCACCAAGCCGTGACAAGGAGCGAATGTAGGGGATGGCACTACTATCCAAAGACACACACCATCGAGGAATTCTTACAAGCCAAAAACATTATCATCCAAGCTGTGCAAGAGGAAATCTATACTGAAGAACTCAAGTATAGCAAACAAAGAAGAGCTTCCAAAAGGCAGTACACTCAAGGGCCTCAATCCGTTCATTGATAGTCACAGCTTACTGAGGATCGGGGGCCATGCCGGCAAAGCTGAGATCGAGACCAGGAAGAAACACCCTATCGTCATCCCTGGAAAACACCATATTGGATCATTGGCCACTACCATGGACAAACCAGACATCAGGGACGCCTGTTCACTGAGGGAGCTATCTGTGCTGCAGGATTTTGGATGGTTGGCAGGAAGAGGTGCGTGAGCCAATACATTTACTGTTGCATCACCTGTCGAAAACTCCGGAGCCCTACCCAAACACAAAAGATGGCCGATCTTCCCATTGACCGTCTCAGCGCTGGTCCTCCTTTCACCAATATTGGGTTAGATGTATTTGGCCCTTGGGCTGTTTCCTTGTGTCGAACAAGAGGCGGTCTCGCCAACAGCAAACACTGAGCAGTAATGTTCACATGTATGAGCACTCGAGGTATCCACATCAAAGCAATCAAATCGATGACCACCTCTAGCTCCATCAACGTGCTCAGGGGCTTCTTCGCCATTCGTGGTCCCGCCAAACATATATGTTCTGACTGCGGAACCAATTTTGTGGATGCCTGTAAGGAGTTGGGCATCGAGTCAAATATGGATACAAACTGTCACCAAATACTTAAGAGTACTGTACCTGGTCGTTCAACCCTCCCCACGCCCCACACATGGGAGGAGCTTGGGAAAGAATGATCGGTATAACCAAAAGGATACTAGACGCTATGTTCTTGCAATACAAGCAAAGACTGACCCATGAGTTACTCTCCACATTCTTAGCAGAGGTCACCTCTATAGTCAACGTCCGACCTCTCATCTCAGTGTCAACAGACCCTGACAAACCTTTCATACTTACACCTGCAACCCTCCTTACTCAGAAAGCAAGCATTCCCTTTACACACGAGTGTGGATATGGACCCAAAGACATCCTCAGAAGTCAGTGGAAATTCATCCAACATCTGACTGAGACCTTCTGGAGCAGGTGGAGAAGAGAATACCTATCTTCTATCCAGACACGCACCAAGTGGAGATCACATGAACCCAACCTGGAAACCGGAAATGTGGTGTTGCTCAAAGACGACCAGGCTGCTAGAAATGAATGGCCCCTAGGATTGATCATGCGTGTGTTCCCTAGCGAAGACAACCTAATAAGGAAAGGAGAGGTCAGGATTTCCAGAAAGGACGGCACCAAACACCTCCTCAAACCCGTTACCGAGATTGTCCTTCTCTGTCTCGAGGACTAGCGCATTTCATGACGTCGAAGACGTCAGGCGGGGAGTGTTCTGTTTAGTGTAGAATAGATTGATTAGCACTCATCTCCCTTTACTGACCCCTTTAGCTTAGGGGCTTCTTTCTGACCCTACACCGGTTGAAGTTTTCCAGTGCTCAGCCCCTACTAGTTTAGCTGCACCCAGCACGGCTGTATGGCATAGTTTTTCTATCCCTTAAATATCTCGACATTCTTGGACATCTCCGGTAAGAATTATCGCCTTTCTTCTTTCTAATTATAGAATTATATAACGCAAACATTATTTTTTAGTATTATTTCCTTTATATAAATGAACTTTGTTTACTTTTTCACCACGTGTGGAACCTCCATCTATCCCCTCGGAATTCGACTGTTACTCAGCATTATTTGTGTTTTTTTTTTCTTTCTATGATTATTTTTTATGCCCAAATGCTTTCTATTCTGTAAGCTTATCAAATCTACAACTATCTTTAAGGTCTTAGTAAATCCTCACCTTCATTTTGTATCTACATGCATCTGAAGAAACGTGTTTTTTATTTCTTTCAGTTTTACCTTTGTCGATGATCAATAAACCTGCGTCTAAAACATACCATGTCTCAGAGTCTTGATTGTCGACGAGAGTTTATGATAACTGTCTAAGGGTTGTGTACATTTCCACGAAATACACACATCCCGGAAACAGTAAAATAAAAGATAGAGTAACAGATTTACCCAGGCTTATCAAGTCCCCAATTACCAAAGATGAAGTTCAGCATGTCTTGAAGAAAATGAAGACAGAAAAGTCCACTGGTCTGGACAAGGTAACAACAGTAATGTTGGAAGCCTTAGAAAAGGTAGGAGTTGAAAAACTTTAGCCCTCATCTCAAAGATCTATGAAAGTAGATCAAACTGAAAGAAACTGCCAAAATCAGGCTTTTTTGCTCTTCCAAATGGCACAAAAATGCTCAGAAAAATGCTAAGTATTATGAGTTACACTCTTAAAATTGTAATCAAAATTGTACTGGAAATAATAAGGTTCAAGATCCACCCAGCAATCCAGAGGTGCAGTTTGGCTTCGTTCTTGACCAAGGAACACCATATTTCTCCTACGAATGATCAGTAAGCATAGAAAAGAGCAATTTATTAGCTTGTTACAGTTAGTTGAATGAGAATAACACTTTTTTTATGCTCACTCAGAACATTCATCTTTTTATTTGTGAATTATTTTACTAATAAATTGTTTTAGCCGTGTGTAAGCAATCTGGGATTGCAAAGGAAATATTTGTCACAGATTACTTATACAATGCAGAGAATAAATCACTGTAAGTTCAGACTCGAACAATGGGGGCAGAAAGAAATGCCGAAAACTCAATTCGCAGGTACTATCTCACAAATCATAATGCACATAACCAGTCAGATAAATAACTCACTCTGACAAATGTGGTAGCAAAAATCCATGAATTTCATTTTCTCTTTTGCTTTTATTGGCCAAGCATTTTTTCATTTGTCGACAACTGGGAGAGGACGCTCAATTTTTGAATATCAAAATACTTTTATAGCGACTCCTGCAACTGAGTTGTTTCTAATTTTAATATTCCGTCTTCAGCATGTCATGCAGAATACGTGCCCCTTTTTTTGGTAAGTAATTTTCTTTTTCGCCACATTTTCCATCGTAGTTTCCATCACAGTTTTCTTTGCTATACCGTGCCCAAAAATTTTCCCTCCTCATTTACTATTTACGTTCCATGAATATCATCTTTTGTCTCATCCCCATTACATAATGTTATTCTTCTGGAGAAGTGTTGGTTGCAAAAATTCTAAAAGAGAATGTTCAGGTACCATTTTAAGTCATATGCGCGCACACACACACACACCACTCTCAAATAAATACAACATAAAGCCAACATATGATGAACTAGTCCAAATTCTAAAAAAAAAAAAAAAAAAAAAAAAAAAAGAAAAAAAAAAAGAAGGAGACCTAGCATCACTCAATGTCGAAAATTTAATTCACCAACATCCCAGTCAGGGAAACGATGGACATAATCATAAAAAATATCTACAGCAATCCATCTCTCCCTCCATTAAAAATTTGGCCTAATATTTCAAAAAACTACTCTTGATGTGCACCACAGAAGTTCCTTTTTATGACCACCAAAATAACGTCTATGTGCAATGTGATGGTGTGTCTATGAGTGCTGTTCTTTGATCAACATTTACCAATTTCTACATGATCAACCTAGAAAATAATGTACTGAATACCACAAAAACTCCATTTACCTAAAATATATAGATGACATTCTTATTGTAGTCAAACATAAATGAAATACATGAATTACAAAAAACTTAAAAAAAAACAAAAAAAAAAAAAAACTATACTTAGGTTCACGTATGACATTAACAGGTACAAAAAATCTTGTTACTTGATGTATTGATAGAAATAATAATACATTTACTACATCTCCATATAAAAAAAAAACAACTAACAAAAACACATGCACTCTTAATTATAAAAGTGAATGTCCTAATTATTACAAAAAGCTATTATACAAAACTTAATCCGTGGCAATTTTTTATAATTTCTATTTTTCCAGTCTGAACTGGGTAAAATAAGCCAAGAAATATTGAAAAAAATATACGACTCATTAAGGATTTGCACACCGGCCAATCAATGAAAGGACACAAGTGAGTGCATTTCTTGGTTCCACAAAATTAAAAATAAAAACAAATATGTATTTGTAAGATACATTAAAAACTTATCCATCTTCTGGAAAACAGGTGGAAGCAATTTTTCTTTTGTGTTTTTATTTTACTAAATTTTATTTAGTAAGAAAATAAAAAGATTAGCTTTGTGCATAATTAATACAGTATAAAAAGTGAGTTATTTTTTTTTTGCACTGTAAATATTTACCTTAAAAACAAAAACTAACATGCTTTAATTTTGTTTCTTAAGAATGTTTTTGTAAATTTGCAGACAATGTATCATTTTGATTACTTATACACAAATTTTTTTAAACTATTTTTTATCTAAAATATTAAGAAAAATATTTTGACAGAGTCACTTTTTTGGCACAGCACAGTAATATGTGTAATCTTCTTCACTCGTGTACATCTGTTATATATACACAGAAACTGTTGAGTAAATGGTGGAAGAATTAACAATGCAAAAATTCAAATTAACATACTTGTTGAAAAAAAATCCTGGTACCTGGCAGGCATGAATACATGCTAATTTTATTAAATAAAATCAAACAGTTACTTGCATGAATGAGATGGAAGGCATTATTTTCCTTACATAAATAAGCAAGAAGCAAGGAAAAGATTGAAAAATTTGCTTGCTAGTTACTACCTGTTTTACCTATGCTGCCAATGTACCTTGCCCAGTAGCGAAATTTGTTATTCTTATTTTGTTTAATTTAAAATCTAAATTTTGCAACTTTCTTCCAGATCAAAACTTTTTCTCTCAACAAAATGCCCAAAACATGCGATCTTACACTTGAACAACACTACACCTACACTTGCATTGAGCACTTTTTATACAACTGTTTTCAAGTAGGCAAGTCTGGATAAAACTGTTTTGTTATATATATATATATATATATATATATACACACACACACACACACACACAAATATATTTAAATAGGCATGCATAGATCTCTCCAGCAATTTAATAAGGAATATGGAATAACTGGATGCAGTAGAAGATTTTTGCTATGATCCCAAATAGAAAAGACTGACACTTGCTCAGGTATACATGCAGGTGGAGAAAGTGAAGAAAATAAGTGGTATATTAAGTCATTTCAGAAATATGATATTAGTAATACAATAAATTGGACTAAGTATGACATTATCTTTCATTATAATACTGGATCCATTGATGGATTTCTTTTCACCAAGCAATAGTAAAAACAATGAGGATTTTTTATATTTTGAACCAAACTAAACAGCAAATCCCCGCCTCCAATTTTGATGTTTTGAGCTCTTGTATGTTTAGAACAATATATACTAATTTTTAAAGTATCAGATTGAATTTCTGTACGATAAAAATCTTTCAAATATGACTAATTTTTTTTTCTTTAAAATACAGTAAATGGAGTCTTGCTTGATGTTCATGACACAGACATCTTCACATATAAATAAATGAAGACAAATAACTGCACACCAATGATACCGATAGGATTATTAACAACAGTCACATTAACAACTTGATTAGACTCAACTTCTGGATATGTAGTAATGTTATAAAGCATTCAAAAGTGATAATATTAAGATGTTCGGAACATACTTATGCCTTTCAACACTATAGATTATAAGTCAACCAACCAAGAGTGAATGGTACAGAATTGTATCTCTTCTGACAGTGTGTTGTTGTTAGTGCATTTCACAGTTTAATCTCATGGAGGATTATAACTTTAAAAAGCAACATATTCACCATTGCTTACTGTATGAATTCCAAAAGACTAGGTAGTATTGCCAGAGGCATTTGAAAACATTTGTGCGATCTATGCTGATGCAGTGAAGGCCCATACATTTCAGCTATGGTTTAAAAGGTTTAAAAATGGTGATTGTGACATATGCTACAAACATTGTTCTGGAAGAGACTACTGAATAGGATCCACATCAAAGCACAGAGATTTGACACAAAACCTATGATCATATTAAACTGTCCATGAACATATCAAGCAATCAGTCTTTTTAACCAGGAATTTATGGAATAATGTATTATTCCATCTACAACATTCTACACGCGCGCGAGTTTCCTCCCTTTCTTCCACACTCGCGTGTGCGCGCGTTCACACCCCTTACTTCCTCTTTCAATCAGACACAGTAGTAAACTGGTTTTTGTCGTCAGTCAAGCTACCCGCTATTCCTTCTTATGCAAATTAGATTTTTGAAATCTTCCCGCGAAATTTCTGTGACGTCACAGACAAACTGTTAGTTCAAAAAGTTAGTTGTGATCCAAACTCGGACCTAAGCAGAGACTCATTTATCCCTGTCGTTATTTAAGGTTAAGAG